AGCTTTTCCTTGAAGGCCTTATTTTTCGAAATTTCAAGGTCATCGATGCTTTTTAAAAATAGGATTACAAATTTCTATCATTATATGATGATAGCAAAGATCAAGACAAATCCAATAACCTATAGTAACATGATGTTAAAGAATGAAGGAGTCTTAACTTGAAACACTAACAACTCTTTTTAGTTAAGATTTTTTGAAATCTGAGGTTTCATGTTCGTTGCTCGAATCCTTCCGTGTGCCCAAGTGTAACTCAAAGGGTCTGAGCAACAGCACAGAGAATTATATTTAATCATAATTGCAACTAATAATGACTAATACAACGTGTACGATGTAATTTTCACTTATGTGTGCGTGTGATTAGGCAGTGAAATTGCGTCATTCTTTGAAATCGGTAGTAGCATGATTCGCACGTATTCGATTTGATCTATACCATGCTACGTAAATCTCTATGGAATATGTACGCAGAACATTAGGTGAAGATTGAGTGCTTGGTCTACTCCAGAGCTATTTAACAGTGCCCGTACGGGCAGCGATTTTCAACTCAGGGTAGACAGCGATCGGCGAGCTCTAGGCCCCACTCCCGAGGGAAACGATGCCCCTTCCTTAGCTCCTCATAGGACTCCCCACCAGTAACGATGCGTTATTGGCTGAAGACAGTGACAGAGATCGACTGTAGGTTACATCGAGATTGAGTGAAATAGAATGAGCATCGAACAATCGTCATAAATCCAATGATCTAGACACGTGGCCCCACTCCGCTAAGACATTTGCCCGTAGCTTTGCCCTTAGCCAGTGGTTATATTTATATACAGGGTTCCCCGGAAAGAATCATCCGATTTCAAAAATTTATATTTTAAAAAATTACACAGGGAAAATTATAATTCAAACACGAATATAACGGGAAAATGTGTGCGTTTTTGTTTACAAGTGTTCAATATGACTTCCTTTCGTTACACGTATGATATCATTGCAATATGAAAGTTCTTGCCAAACACGGTGTAATGTATCTCTGGTAATTGTTTGTACAGCATCACAAATGCGTTTTTTCAGTTCATTTACACTTGTAGGTAAAGGTGGTACAAAGACAAGATCCTTCACAAATCCCCAAAGGAAGAATTCGCATGGGGTTAGGTCGGGTGATCTCGGAGGCCAACTGTGTAGAACCATATTATCGGATGAACTGCGACCAATCCAACGGTTTGGTACATGAGAAAAAAATAATAAAAAGTAAAACTCGCACATTTTCCCGAATGAATTATAATTTTCTGTGTGTAATTTTTTAAAATATAAATATATATATATATTATTATATTTGGTCTTGCTTTTCGCGAGGACTGTTGAACAACTTTGGTCTGCTCCTGTATCTCGTATGTAATTGCGGTAACGTATAGCTTACCGACGAAACTAGCTCCTTGAAGGAATAGTATAGTGGCCCAAAGGATCATGCCGCCAAAATGGCGGGCCAAGGATGGGCCGCGTATTGTTCCACACACGTACTTGTTTCCGCTTGTGTTTTCTCTGAGAGATGTGCGCTTCGGCGATTCGTAAACGACCTGAATGTAATCTGTGCATGCACCTTTCTTGAGGTTCGGGCTCATCTAGCCTCATTTGCCGTGCTGCATTCTTCTCCTTTCATTGCGTCATAACTACTGCAACAAAAAACAGAAATAATAATGATAATAAAATATAATAATATAATAACAATTGCGTGAAGCAGAATGTAAATAAAAATGAATTCTTTTGTTCATGATTGTGACAAGTCTATATATATAAAATAGCAATATTCTTGAATTTCTCTATTGTCTTCACATTTTTGGGTTTTACTTGTTAATTTTTAATTGGAGCAATTCTACCTGTCACATTTATTTTAACAAATGTTACAAGTATAAAAATCGATGAAACATATGTCCATATTTCAATAGTGTTACGGTACAGATCGGATTAACTAATTATATTAGTTTCAACAATTTATTTAGATTTGTTCAAACAACAAATAATTATTTTTACTTTTAACAACAATAATTTATTTAAATATTGCCAACACTGGCCCGGATTAACGCAGAGTCATTCTGCGCAAGGAATTCACTATTTTACGGATATTCTTTCCATTTCCACTAGAACCGTCGTAGGTAGAATAAATTACCAAGTTAAAATTCAGCTCAACTAACTTTTTCATCATGTATTGTAAAAGCTAAAATTCTCGAATACCATATTCATGAGAGAAATGTTTCATTAAAAATTTTTAATTGAAGTAATCAAATCAAATCAAAGTACTCAAACTAAAGTAATCAAATCAGTTTTTACTTGCGACTAGACTGTGGATTTTATGTATTAGAAGAATGTAAGAATATTGTTACACTATTTTTAACTCATTACCGTAGAATAATTTATAATTTCCTTGAACAATGTACGTATAACAATCCTGTGCTTCCTAAATAAATCATCTGGCTTAAAGCATTAATAAATAAAGTACTATTATTAAAACAGGAAAGACGTCCTTATCAAAGCTGTCTGTGTTTTTCACAATTAATGTAGACAAGTTTTATTTCGCATAAAAGCCTGCAGTCTTTCTATGACTAAAGAAGTGTAATTTTTATTAAGAAAAAAATGTAGAAAATGTCGCGTCTTTAATCATATTACGTTTGATCTGATTTTATTTCGTAATAAACATGATACACATCGATGTTTTGATACCGTATCAATTGTTTAATCGAAAACGTGCGACTAATATCGAACGTTCCAATAGCAATTCAATAATAGAAGTAAACGACGATGTATCACGTTCAATTGTTCCAGAGATGGAGGTACTGCCACCTATCACGATCAAGGGAATTTAGTACAGTTGATCTGTCGAACGTTTAATTAAATACCATCCCTTATCCGATTGCAACGATGCCAGAGCAAACACGAGTATTCCATTGCAGTTAGGATCGTATTTCGCAAAATCCATGGTAAGTAATGACTGTTTAATTATGTTTATTTATTTGATACTCCTGTCGTTCTCGATGAATCGAAAATTGTGAAAATCACTTTTCTGGGAAACATTGCGAGTTTTTCCCTCGAGAATCATTTATAATCTTTCCATGAATCGAAGCGCAAGATTAGTTTAAATAATATTTCTTGAAAATGAATCGTTCTTGGTTTTGAATGCATTTGTGTAGTTAGTTTAGCTGACGAAATTTGTCTTAAGGCGAATGTTGTCTTACTGATATTAAAAGTGCTATTAAAAGCAGTTTGCGAATGACACGATTTATGTGGTCTCGCGTCTGCACATTGATAGTTTCATGATCAGTGCATCTGTGCATGATTAGAGTGAAACATGGAATTCGTGCAAATATTATAATAACGAAAAGAAGAAGCGAATAAATTTATGCTGCATGAATATATTGAATAATCTTATTTCACTGAAATATTAAAAAAAAAACATACGATAAGATGATTTCAAAGAGTAATTCTGATATAATTTTCGAGTATGAATAACGAAAACATAAAACATAGTATAATATTAATGATTCACATAATACATTTTCTACATTATAATTAATTACAGAACATTATTACCAAACGGTTTACATTACAGAAAATCTCATAAACCATTAATACCTTCATTTTCATTCTTGTGGACATATGATTATTTTACGTTACGAAATATATGATGGGAAATAGTATTTAATTTATGAAATTAATTAATGTAGTACAATTTACTAATGAAAGCTGTGTTTTACGTAAACTTCGAATTTTCATTAACTGACCGTAAATTAATTGCAGTGTGCATTAAAGGAGATAGAAGGAATATTGTTAGCTTTCCTCGTTATAGTATAAGGAACAAATTAATGAACTCAATGATTCCTGTAGATATTAGGAATTATCAATATACAGTAAATTCTCCCTAATTGATGCTCAAATTATGCACAAAAATGGGCAATTTGAGAAGAGGAGATCCGATTATTCGAGTCTTGCGGCTCGTTTTTATAGTTGTTGATAATGTGTAACTATAAAAACGAGCCGCAAGACTCGAATAATCGTATCTCCTCTTCCCAAACTGTCCATTTTTGTGCACAATTTTGAGCATCAATTAGGGAGAATTTACTGTATTCACTTTTCTTCTGAAATTGTGCTATGTTAATACATACAACAGTTTTTATTTTCGTTATTGATACTTTGTTTATGCAACTGTCACACTTCTTGAATAATTTTATAAATGTCGGAATTTCAGATTTAAATAAAATGTGTTACATTGTATTGATTCAAAGCATTGACATCTTTTTCTGAAATAATTGTATTTTCGTAACGGCAAATCAACGAATTGTCTTTGTTATCTTTTTCTCTTGAATTCCTTAATTTTGATATTGTTTTGAATTCCAGAAATGTTTTCAAAGCTACTACGGCTATTATCTTCTTTTATATTTTTAAATCCGGTCACAGAGTCATTATATCGCGTAGAGAAATTAAGGGATTATCAGTACTTCTGTAACAAAAGAAATTATAACAGAAAGAATTTGAATCATATTCAAATATTGTTAAATAAACTATTATTCTTAAGTAAAATGAAATAATTAATATATATTAAAGTGAAATTAGTGTAGAAATTCGTCTTTATATTTTAATATTATACTTAATAGATTGGTAAAACATTAACTGAGAGAGTTCACCATTTTACATCGTCGCTATATTTGGGAAATCCTGGGAATTAATTACAGAAGATTATCGCAGGCTATTAGAGACATATTGTCGCGAACAAAGAATTTTTTTCGTTACACTTACCCACATTCTAGAAGGTCAATTATTCGTGAGAGATCTAACAGTACCCCAGGCATTTGCTAATGACAAAATTGAAACGGATCGACAGGGAATACAAATGAGAGTTCCTAATTGAGACCGATTCAGCTAATCCCAAATTAATGTCAGCCCGCATGGGAAGAAAACAGGCAGGATATAATGGTATCGTAATGACTGTTATCTCTTATCACGTAATTTTTCGTTACATCGTTCAGAATTTATCACATGGGTAGCTACTTTTTCAAATTTTAACATTTTACGCATTTTATGTGATTATTGTTAGAAATTTCAAGCGTGAAATTTAATGAAGTTTATAGTTAGGTTTAGAGTAAATATGAAATGGAAAAATGCGCGCATTACATAGAAATACAAAACTAAGGAGCACTTTTTTTCTAAGGAGTAGCAACGAATACTGTTCACTAAGGAAATGGTACATCAAAGGAACTGCTTGGAGGCTCCTAGCGTGTCTGGACCAGTGTTCACGGTAAAATAGAGAGAGGCTACACAAGAAGCGGGGGCAGGCGACCCATGCACGAGAGTTCCGCATAGCTGCGTGCCGCGTCTAATGGGTGAACGTTATAATTCTGAACTACAATTGTGACGCGACTCAGTTCGGCTATCTGTCCTGTCGTTCAGTCAGTTTGTCTTGAAGTTAGATTATTTTGAATTTAATCATAACAGTTGAAAGGTTTTCTTTATTAGATTTCAAGAAATAGATACATTTATTTTTATTCTTTTTCCTATTATTTGTCTAATACTTTTAATTAGTATATTATTTGAATTAAATCGTACACCATTTGATTTAATGGAAGGGTTTTTTTTGGTTTAATATTCAATATTTTAGAAGACTATTTGTATTAATTTTTATATCTGAATATTTAAGAATTGTTTTTATAAGATTTTTAGTGAAATTCATATTTTTAGAAGTTGCACAAACAGATCTCGTGCAACTTCACATTTCAATTATCAGATCTTCCTCTTCACTTTTGTCTTCACTTTTGAGAGAGGGAGAGAGAGAGAGAGAGGGAGAGTAATCAACAAAACTCGAATACAATTCCAAACAATTTCAATTTTTGAAAAAAATTGTCTGCTCATTGTCTAGTAAACCAGTCAGTCTAACACGTCAGATAAATTTAAGTCATTTGGTTCAGTTTTAAGAAAAGGTTGCCACGCTTCAAAAAGTGTCTGAATATTATCAATACTCACTGTAGCAAATTCTATGCGATGGCTTATACGATTCGCACACTCATCGATTCAGCTTCTCCGATGATGTTTGCTAGTCACGATTTGGTGTTCCGCATGACAGATGCAATGAAAATAGAACCTGTCGAATGGCACATGCTATTTCCCTTACACCACGGGAACTGTCAATCGTAGCATGGAACAGGTTCGTTTCAGGTGCAGAATTGGGAACAGAAACCGTTATATTTTCGCGCGAATCCTTGACAATCACAATCCACGCATATCGGGAATCGATAATATCGTGAAATTCGAAATCGTTTTGGAGTATTAGAAGCCAATCTAGAATTCACACGTTGCGCCTTCGTATTGAATATTCTTCCACTGATGTGATCGGTACTTCTCGTGGCTGTGCATTACAGGAATTAATCCGCGACGGATGTTACACTCGGCGAAACTTCCCAAATGTGATCGTCAATTAGAATGGTACTAATGTCCGACTTTCTATTTTTACTGGTCTTACCTCACTAAACTATGACACATGTTCAGAAAATGATGTGTGCAAAATTTGTGCGTTAAAATTTAAACATTTTAATGATTTTGTGTTTATCTTAAACATAACTATAATTTTGTATTTTACAAATACTCTTAAAAGTTTTTGACTGAAAGATAACGCAATAGATGAATAATG